CTGCCTGTCTGTAGTGGGGTGATTCGGTGTCTTCCACGTGACTCAGGACCTCGGTAGGGCGTGCACAGACCTGCCTGTCTGCAGGGGGCTGATTCGGCGTGTGTTCCACGCAACTGGGGACCTCGGCAGGGTGTGGGCAGACCTGCCTGTCTGCAGCGGGGTGATTCGGTGTCTTCTGCATGACTCAGGACTTCAGTAGGACGTGCACAGACCTGCCTGTCTGCAGGGGGCTGATTCAGCGTCTTCTGCGTGTGACTCAGGACCTCGGTAGGGCAGACAATATTGTTTCATACAGCAAGCCAGTCAGGATATATTCTATTCAATAGGAATTACTAAATTATTGATATACTCCAAGTCATAAAATCTTTAAGCATGTAAATGCAATCCTGACTTTCTCCAGCTTTGACATATAATTGAAAAATTAAAATAGAATATATTCAATGCTCTTTATATGTGACTACATTGTGAATTACCACTATAAAGCTAATTAACATACTCATCTTCTCACATAGTTACTTTTGTGTGCAAGTGGTAAGAACATTTAAGGCCTATTCTCAACAAATTCAAGTATTCTGTTTTTAAAAATAAATATTCTTGGTAAGTTATGGCCTGCTATTCAGGAACAAAAAATAAACCTAAGGAATCACTTAAAAAGTAACATGGACATAAGAATACTAAAAGGTCAACTTCAATTTTTTGGTAGTATTTTATTGGTATGTTTGCAGTACATAATATTTACAGTTCTTGTGTGTGTGGAGTTGAAATATGTACATAACACATCTTAATTCCTTTATCCCCTTCCCCTCCCTTCCCTCCTTCTTCTATCTCTTGATACCCTTCCCATTAGAGAAAGATCTATCTCCCTAGTTTCTATTATCTTTTATTTTACTTTATTTATAATTTAGGTTTAAATTCAACACAGTCATATCTTAGAAAATTATATAGCTCATTAAGAAGAGCGTAGTCAATTTTAAATCAAGGGTTAAACACTGACAGTAGGCAATAGCAATCAATTTAATGATGTGGGAAACTCATTTGCAGTTATTTGACAGTGAAAATGATGACTACTCTCATACTGTCCATCATTCCCTCAAATTAGAAAAATATGCTTTAGAGAAAAGTATGCAAGAAAAAATAAGACTAGACTGAAGGTATGCCCAAGGAAAAGTATAAAAGTATATCTAAGTAGCTTTGCTAATCTTATACAGAATGTAAAATGTATCCTTTTGTCCACATTTTTATTCTCCCTTCAATAGTTTCTACCACTCTCAAAGAAAGAATAGAGCAAAGGGATAAGTAGCCTTAATTCTCAGCTGGCTGTGCAACTTTGGTAAAGAAGTCATTGATCTTTGGACCACATTAGCTGCATCTATAAAATAATGCCCTTCTGGAATTTTAGAACTGAAAAGGACCATTGAGACTAACATATGCATAATTCTACTAAGCTCTAAGCTCATATTTATCCAAATATCAACTTTTAAAAGGGGAAAATATTCCATTTAGAGAAATGTGATTTTAATGGACATAATAGGGTATCTGGTTTTCCAATTGAAGTAAGTTATCAGTTAATTTCAGATTGGGTTTCCACAGATATTTGAACATTTCAGTAAGTGAAGCCTCTGGATCCTACCCCTTACTCCTCTTGGGATTCAACACATTGGACTACTTTACTTATGTTCTCCAGTTCTTCATTTACATCAATTAAAAGAATTTCATTATCCTACAAGTTATATATGCTTACAATTTTTAGACCTCATGTCTTAAATTCTATTTTCCTATATTAAGAAAGCCTTGTCACCTTGGCATAATCTACTATAGTGGATTAACTAATGGTCAATGTTTAACACCCAGCTGAACTGAATCAACATGGTCTGGGTGTGGAGGATCCACCTGAGGACTGTTACCAATAGCCATAAAAAGAGAAATAGAGGGGAAGATCTTGGCCTGTTGATTTTTCTAGAAGCTTGCTGCCAATGGTTTTCCTGATGCAAAACAGGCTGTTCTCATTGGAAGAGGAGCTTGGGGTCTCACTGTCACTGGGAATGGCCACTGTTTTAGTCAAGAGAGCTCTGATCTTCACTGTGAGCATCATTTCCTGGATTCAATGTGGGCCCCTCAGCTTGGTGACACAAATCCTTCATCTCACTGGCATAGGTTTTCTGGCTTCCACCACTGGCCTTTGGGCCTTCCAGGTGCAGATCCTCAATGTGGACAAGCATGACACTACTGTGGGCTCTAGGCCACTGGCTGGACTCATGGACAGAATTTCCTTGCACTCTAAGCCTTTAGCTGGACTTGTGTTGGGCACTCCTAGGACTGAGGCCCTCAGCTGGATTCTTTAGGCCTTCAGTGTGAGGTTAATCTCTCTTGCACTTCTTTGATTTGACTTTTTGTGTGATTATCATAAAATAATCTTATAAAGTATATGTCCTGTATTGGATGTATTACCTTGCCAAAACCCAGACTACAACATCTACAAAAAAAGAGAGAAGGTAAATATCATAAATTATTAACTTTTTAATGTTCCTGAGCATTGGAAATAATTTAACATTTACTGAAAAGTTTAATATGTCCAATTTTTTACCACAGTCTAAGTTTTTAGGGGCATATTTTTATCTCCAGCACAGAGCATAATGTTTAAAACTGAGTAGGCACAAAGTAGTTCCAGGTAAGTATAGAGAATGCACAAGCCTGCCTTCAAGGAATTGTAACCTAATAAAAAGACAGAAATGGGACAAATGGCAGGATGAAATAAAATACTAAATCACATGACCTACAGATACCTATATCCTGCTCCCTGGATCCTGTATGTAACATGCCCAAAGGGAATTAAATCTGCAGATGGAATAAACTGCTAATTAGTAGACCTTAAATCACATGAGAGGAAGAAACGAGAAAGACTGAAGATCTACCTTTGTTACCTTACACGATGAAGGAATGAGACCACACAAGCCAAAATATGTGAGCATAGGGAAGCAGATCTTACCCACAGGCTCCTGAAAAGAACACAGCCTTGCTTGCCAATACAAGGCTTCATTTCAGCCCAGTGAGACCTATTTCCCATTTCTAAGCTACAGAACTGTAAGCTAATACAGTCTGTTGTTGTAAGACATGAAGTTTGTGGTAATTTGCTATGGCAGCCACAAGAAACTAACTCAGGGTCACAGAAATTATTTCAGCTTTAAGAAGGTGGCACTGACTTGGTATTTCATTGGGGTGTGAAAGGCCTGAATGCAATGAAGGGAAACAGTTAAGAGTTAAGCCCTTGTTACTCCAAGTGTGTTCCCTTCCAAGCAGTACTGGTGGGAAACAGCTTTTTTTTCAATGCAAAAAAATATCAGAATAGCACTTTAACAAGATCACCAGATAAAGAATCAATATTAATGTTTCAGAAACTCTACATTAAATTTATTAAAAACTATTTTAAAATGTGGAGAAATCTTTGATTCTTTTTTGACTCATTAATATCTGCCAAAAAATGTTTAAACACACCAGTAAGAATGCTAGTTGATATTTGTTAACACTGACCAAGGAACACACACACACACACACACACACACTTCTGCCGTGCTCTTACACAATGTAGGGCCTTCAGTAAAATCCATCTGTCCCCATCTGCAAAAGGTTTTTCTTCTTTGAAAATTCCCATGAGTTGAAAGATTATAAATGTCAAAATTTTATTATTTTTGAAGATATTAGAATCCCTGGAATAGTACTCATAGAGCCACCTTGTGGGGGACAAAGTAATTTCATTCACCTAAGAAGTTTTCTTTAATTGCTTTAATAGAAAAGACAATAATGTTCCACATTTCACATAATATTAAAAAGAAACCGAGTTTTAAAACACTCTAATAAGTACTTAGTGAAAATAAATTTATTGAAAGATAACAATGACCATAATGTTAGTATCACCAGATCATTACAGATGCCTTTTGCTTTATAATATTTGGAGAGTAAGTGGACAAAATATGAAACAGAATATGAACATTTTAAGACTGTATTTTATGCAGTCTTTACCTTTTTGCTAAATCTGTGCATATTACAAAAGTACTCAAGATGGCTGTAAAGATATTCAGCTAAAGTCCTATTTGAAAGATGTTACAATGGTCCTCTACCAATTATATGGCACTGCAAATCATTCTGTTTATAAAGTTAAAATAAGCAAGAATTCAATGATTCTCTCTAGTTAAGATTCAGCTAAAGAAGAGAACATCAACAGAGAACTAGTGACCAGAATAAGAAAATCAGTTCAATCTAGAAAGATACATTAGTCCACATAATTTGGTTAGGTTAGATCAATGCGGCTCACTCAATAAGTCAAAAGTAATATAAGAGAAATGGGTAAGATGATGCAGAGACCTGTGTTTAAATTCACCCAAAATAATCCTATTACAATCAACCTGTATATCACTGAGTCCATTAAAATAACCTACATCTTACCATAATACAAAACCAAACCATTATTGGTTTTCTCTAAAGTGCACAACTTAGGAAACCTTCACCATGGTGTGCGCTTGATCAGTGTGTACAGTGTAGATGAAACAGGCACCTCCACTGTAATTTATTTTTTAATAAATAAAAACACATTAGATAGGAAAAAAGAAAGTAAGCAGCACCTGAAGCCTTGGACACTGGTAACTAAATGCTAGTACCCAAATGATCTAGCTAGTTAAATGTTACTAAGAGCTGCAAAAAAGGGGACATTTTGGACTTGACATTTTAATTCTAGTAGAGACAAGAATTTGTCTGGGCATACAGTCCTGTCACCTGATGGTGGGTAGGATACCAGTCCTTCATGTGTCCTATACTTTGGAAAGCAGGCCCGATTCTGGAGCACTCGCCTTAATCAGATTCTGAATTTCCTTGAATTTTGGATGATCTTTGTCAGCTACCAGCTGCAGCAGAACAGCTTCACTCGTGGTAACTATGATCCCAGTGCGAGCAAGACGCTTTAAAAGAAAAGATACACAAAGACAATCAAGAAGTAAGCATGAGAATGAACAACTTTATAACAGCAGAAGTGTGCCAGGACACAATAATTAGTGTCCTCTATGACAAACATGGTCCACAGCCACACCATCAAATGCAGTAATGGGGAAAGATTCCAAAACCACTTCCACAAACACTGTGATTATTCTCAGTATTAGTGACATGGACTAGAAGTAAAAGAAAGGTATGTGTGAGGCCCTTGGTTCGATCCCTAGAACTAACAAAAAAATTCATTATTAATTTATTATCCAATCTCATAGAAATAAAATTTTAAATTGCATTAAAACTACTATCAGAAATAAAAGGAGGATTCTGTACATTTTCTGCCCCTGAACATCTGACATATAAGACACAAGACCTTCCCATAAATAAGAGCATTCCTGGCTAGAAATGACTGGCAGAAGAGGAGAAGCGTCTCATCGGAGGTTTAAGAGTATGCCTCCAGAACCATCTCTGCTGCCATCACACACTTTTTAGAATCACTAAACAAGATTATAAAAGTTGATGTTGTATAATTTTCCTTACAGGTCAAAAATGTCCTTGCTAAACTGCTCCAGCGGAATCATAGTAAATAAGATAGAAATCTGGAGGGGAACAGGGAGAGGAAAAAGGAGGCAAAGGGGAACAAAGGGATGGAGGAGAGAAAAACAGAAAATCAAGGAGAAAAGAGGGAGGGAAGAAGCAGAGAAATTAATTCCACAGCAAAGATTCACTCTCTGAATCTATTTGTTATTAGAATCTCTGGGGAAACACTTATCCCAAGCATCTACTGCAAGGACCATGGAAGTGGTAGTAGTTAGAAATAATTCCTGGGCAAATCAGAGAAAGATCCAAATCAGTATCTCCTCATAAAGGAATAAGCAAGCATCTGAACAGCCAAGACATCCCCGTGGAGTGGAAGTAAATCTTCCTTTAGATGCTTGCGTATCCGCAGACCTAACTTTTCCACTGTGGGGTTCCTCCTTTTTCTGGCAGAAGGGACTATAAGCCAAAAGCCACTTAGAAAGTGAGCTTGACCCTCAACACCAGTACAGAAAAGAAAGCAGAGCAGATGACCAGGACTCTCAAGAAATAGAAAAACAGCAAGCAGTTATGCAGAAATGAATAGGGGAAGTAAGTGTGTTAGTGCTCTTTATAAGCTCACACTCCAGGGTGAATTTTCTTAAGACTTCTGGAAAGTCCTATTTCCTACTCCTTTGCTCTTTAGTCAATTTATCTTTAGTTCAAATATCAAAACGTCCTGTGCTTGCTTCAGACAGAAAGGCAGAGAATACAAGACAAGTGCAATATACTGTTGTGCAAACAGCTCTGAATGTATGCTTCTTTTAAGCCCAATTCTTACCCTTACCAGTCACCAGCTCTCGATCACCTTCCCTACTGTTCACTGGTGCATCAAGGAACTCTCAAAGATTCAGTCTGATGCTGAATCACAGGCATTCAGTGTCTATGAAGTGCTTTACATAGCTCAATATACCAACAAAGGTCAGTTCCCATTCATCTCTCTAGGACTTTAATGAGGTAAAAAGGGAGAAAACTGTGCCTACAGCTAAGGAAGAACCTGTTGACTCAGAAAGAAGCCTGTTTATAATGGGCAACTTTTTCTAGTGTTCTGTTGGCCAGAGCCAGGTCCCTCCAACCCCATAATCCTCAGCTATACTTCAAGTCTGATGAGGATAGTATGGCAGCCTAGGACACTCATGTCACAGAAAAACATTTGGGCAGACTGACAGCTACATAATAGCACTGGGCTTCAACATTGAATGTGATCAATATTCATGGAGTTTTAAAAAAACCAATCTAGCCAAGATCCTGAGTTTAGGAAAGGTGTAGCACAACAAAATGCAAAGCTTTTCTATCAGGCTAGTAGACTTCTGCCTAGTGCCTGGCCTGCTAGAACCTGGGAGGGTACCTGAGCAACAGGAGCAGCAGCAGCTATTCCAGATCCACCTGTCATGTTCCTGCCCACCATCTGACAATACTGGTCCCAAGACCACTTTCTCTCCTGGGTTGTAAAAGGGGTAATTAAAACTCTGGTTGTTTAATGGACAGGAGTACATGTGCATTAGGGTTTTGAAGATCTACCTTTACACCCGACAAACCAGCCTACATGGGCCAAAGTAAAGAAAAGTGTCTCTGACCCATAAAACTAAAAAGAACACAAAGCCATGAGATGGGGCGGGGGGGGGGGGGCAGGCATTATACTTCCAAGCAGCATTAAAAACTACTCAGATGTACAAGGACATTAAGTTCAAGACTGAGTTTTATCATATCTTATTCTGCATTTACTGTACAATTACCAATTGAAAGAAACAATGCCTGATACATTTACTGATAAAGCAAATGACACAGACCCGGATACTTCCTAACTACAATTTTAAGAGTATAATCATTTTAATAGGTGTCAACCTGACCTGAGTGAGACCCTCTTAGCAAACATGCAGCCTTCTACAAACAACAGGACACCACTAAAGGGCCATACTGCCTTCAGCAAACAAAACAGATGGCCATAAAGAAAATTTAGGACAGGACAAACAGCCTCCCCAGCACCAGTTTTATACACACACCTGCACTGACCTTCCTTGGAACTCTGTCTCCAAGCATTCCATCCCAGATTCCTTAGGATTATAACCCCATCCCCAAATCCTATAAAAACTTAACTTCTCCTCTGGCCAAGCTGCTGAAATCATTCAGAATCTCAGCCCTGTCTGCACCCTAGTCAGAAATAAATCCAGCCTTTTGCTCACACAAAGCCTGTGTCCAGTAGCCTCTCATGTGCTGTTTGTAACAACAGGTGATATGGATAGTGTCAGGAATTATCTTAAATAGTTATGTTCTAAAGGAATAAATTGGTGTTTTAACTTTCCTAGTTATAGAAAAAAAGAGAAAACGATATTTCATAGTTCTCCAAAACATTTAGGGATAAATTAAAACAATATTACTTCCATATGAAAATAAGACTAAGAGGAAAAATTTAAAGTCTGGCAAGTGTTTCTGTCACCACTTGACCTGATACATAATTTTAATTCTAATTTCTCCCTTTCAAATTCAGCACTTAACCCCAGGCAGGCTCTTCCAAGTCACCCAGACAACGGGTTCTTTCCTTCCTTTCTCAGAATGTCTCAGCCCTGGTTCCTTCTCAGTCTTAGAATGCTCATGTATATGCTCATATATTTCAGGGAGGGCTGACCCCATGAAAGCAACAATGATTTTTTTAAAAGCAGCAGCCACCATTTGAGTACATACTGTGTCACACACTATACTACTATGAACACATTATCTCATTTAATCCTCAAAATCCTATGATGTAGTTGCTATTATTATTTCCACTCCACTAATGAGAAATCTGAGGTAGATTATTTAATTTGTTGAAGGACACAAATCTATGCAACACCACCCCTGCATTGACATCTGCACTGTTACCCCACCATCTGGACTCCTAATCAGAGATATCAGGCAGCCTGTTGAAAACTGAAGCATGGGTGGTAATGAGCAACTATGTTTTTATTTCTGACTCTTGCTAACAGTCAAAACTTTCTGTGATAAATATCACAACAAAAACATGACTAAGAAACCTGAATACAAGAAGAAAGCCCTTTAAATGTCTTTACAGGCAAGGAAAGTACTATTAGTTTGTATGCCTTTAGTTTCTTACTTCCTTGGTAGTACTTCAAAGTCTGGACCTCAACATAAAAATAAACGTTATCCACATATAAAAAGATCAGCTAAGTGAGGTAGGAGCACCTGACAGTGGAAGTACATAAATTCAGGTTATTAGGGAAATTTGAGAAGTGAAAGCTGATTACCTCATGACCTTAAGAAGGGCTTACAGATCTTTGGTGAGACAGGAAGAAGCAACATTTAGTAACAACTATCAGCAAATCAAATCGTCCCCAAGGTCTTGAAAATAGTTTGAGAACATAAACAACTTCCACCTGCAATCTCAATATGAGACTTACTACTTTAGGAAATCACAGAGAAAGGACAGCCAACCAGGACTTAAAACAGTATTACCAGTTACAGCCATCAATGCTCCTCAATGCCTCCACTCAACTGCTTTCCTTCCTCTGCCTCAGCCTCCCTTTTCACATTTGCACCTTATCACCTCACAGAACTTTAGGCTAGAGATGATTCAAGAATCCTACAGAGAAAGCAGTTCAAATGCCAGCTTGGGCAAGAACACTGGAGGATCTCAAAACAAAACAAAATCCAATATACTTCTCACTTTTAGTAAAAATTTTTAATTCTCCAATTAAATCCAGATGTATATAAATCCACATGTACATTACTCTGAAATTATTACAGAATCAGAATTATATATGAAAGAGATATTATTACACTTTTGAGTGAAAGTTGCTCAAGATTATGAAAGTTTCAACAGTCTTGGAATAGAAAATACTTAAGTTAATATTACTGTTGGGTACTGTTAATAATCAGTGATTTCCCAATTGACTGGGACATCATGTCACTCTAGTGACAGAAAGTAACAAAACACTGTATGTGAAAGGCAACCACAGTCAGGGACACATTTCCTAATTCCAGAATTCAAGTCTGACAAAACCTTTGATCCAGTTGAACCAGGTGTAGGCCCATTCTACCCTAGTTTTGGCTAACCTGTGGCCAAGTTAAACTCAAGTTGAATTTCTACTTTGCAAATCTCTGAACAGTTCAGGTTAGACTTTCTGAAAAAAATCTCTTAGTCCATGTATAACCCTACAGCAAAATCTCAATGACAGATGTAAAGAAAATTCTGTCATTCATAAAAAACCTATCTAAAAGGAGAAAACAAAATATAAGGATATGTGGTGCAAACTTAAAGGTAGGTCAGTGCATAGTCAAGTCTCTAGAAATTAATGAGTCTCATACTGTCAGACCAAGCTTAAATTTAAGTGGTCAATCTTTCATTACAATTAAAAATGTAATACTCCTAATTTGTTTGGAAAATGTGATAAATGACATATTTTCCAGCAGGACAGTTACCTCAAGAGCAAACATCCTGTCCATCATGCTTCTTGATGAGGTGGCATCAGCAACAATATGAACCTCAATACCTCGACCAACAAGCTCCAGGGCAGTTTGTTGGATGCATACATGAGTCTACAGGAAAGTAAAAATTCACACATAAATACATGGTAAACTAAAAGTATTCTACAAAGGTACAGCAACATGATAAAGCAGAGAGATCACATCTAATGACTTTGCTCCACACCTAGTTTTGCCTCTAATTAACTAGGCTGTTTGAACATAAATCAGTGTCTCTGGCTATGGTTTATTTATTTGTAAAATCAACAATTTTATTACACCAATGTTTCTTATACTGGGAACCTTGAATATATTCTTAAGAGTTCTGTTAGAATTTCTTAAAGATTTTCATCTGCATCCTCTGAATGACCTTAGAGCTGACTACTACCCCTCAGTTACGGTGAAACTTACATTTGGGTTTGTTTCTGTATTCATACCCAAGTGCCCAACACTGTGGAGTGAGAAAGCAGTGGGAAAATAGAATCATTACAAGGCATCAGGTGTTAATGTAGGCCAACCCGAAATAACTTAGGACGAAGACTGAAAGAAAGTATGTAAAAACATGGCAAAAACTGTACTTTTTAAGTGCACAAAAATAACACAGAGCATTATAAAACTAATAACGCTGCTCCACATCTAGTTTTATCTTTAACTGGCTAAATCATCTTGATCATACATTAGCATCTCAGGCTTGCATTTATTCATCTGTAAAATCAGGAATTGTGGATATTTAAGTGTACATCCCCATAACTCTCATAGATTCTATCTTTGTAAATACTAACTTGTGACAACTCATTAGGAGAAACTAGACTAAAAACACATTTCAACAATATTTAAATTATAAAACCAATAAAAGCAGATTTCAATAATGCCATGTCAACTTTATCTTCCCATGACAAGAGAGCTTTGGAAAATTATCAACTGACACTTCATTAAAATTAGAATTAAAGGACTGTTCAAAGAGAATACTGATTATACACAAGGTTTAATTATAATGAACAAGAAAAATATGCAGAAGTCAGCAATAGCATTTGGTATGACATATTTATACAAACAGGTTTCCTCTATACTATCATTATTGAACCAAAAGTAATATAAATATTTAATGTACATCTATTTGTAAGATTACATCTTTTCACAATTAAAAACTACTACTATAAAGCCTATCAAAAAGTCATAACCATATTAAATTTTTATTCTGATTTCATTATCTTAAAAATTTTGCTCATTATTTTTAAATTTTTCATATATTACCAGTTTAAAAGCTAGGAACAAATCAACTGAGAACATCATTAAGAATCTATGAGTACAGCAAAAGAAACACAAAAATTTCATAAACGCGTGGAAATTGAACAACACACTTCTGAATAACCAATGGGTCATAGAGGAAATGAAAGAAGAAATCAGATAGTTCCTTCAATTAAATGACAATGACAATACAACACATTGGAATCTATGGGACACAATGAAAGCAGTCTTATGGGGGAAATTCACAGCATTGAATACGCATATTAGGAAAACAGAACGAGCCCAATTAAACAACCTGATGCTGAACCTCAAGCTTCTAGAAAAAGAAGAACAGGACCACCCCAAAGCTCATGCAAGGGAGGAAATTATAAAGATCAGAGGAGAAATCAATGCAATG